GAAGGGGGGGGGGGGGGGGACAGAAGTGGCTAAAAAGTCCACTTGGAAGAATTAAAAGAGGTAAGGCAGAGCTGAGTCCAAAGCTGTGTTGTGCTGACATGTTCTTTTGGAAAGGTAGGAATGGAAATTAAGAAATTACAAGAAAAAAATGTCTGGGGAGAAGAATGGAGATAGGGCAATGTGAGAAGCAACCAAAGAAACCACGTATAGAGAAGCAGATAGAGATGAAAATAAAGACCAGCGAGTCAAAGGAAGTGAGGCCAATGAAGGAAGGAGGCAGCTGAGAAGAGTACTGGAGTCAGAAAGGTTAATAGACTGGAGATCCCAAAAGGAATGAGTGACAGGGTAGAGGAGAGAGAAAGACAGATAAGCTGAAAGCAAGCAGGTAGTGATTAGAGAAAGGGAATTTAGAAATAAGAGATAATAAAGTGAACAGTATTTAGTAAAGACAAGGTCATGGGAATGATTGAGGAAGTGAGAAAATCTGTCTAAAACGAGAAATCAAAGGCAGCGGGCTGGAAAAACAGAATGAAGAACAATGGAGTTAAGTACTTACCAGGGGAAAAAAAAGAATAGGGCTTGCCCATGGTGAGGGATAAAATTTAAGAAGACAGAAATGGGTTGAGTTTAGCAAAGCCACAAAGAAAGAAGCGAACTATTGGCCACTAGGAAAACTAGACACAGAGGACTTCAAATCACGGAGAGGACAGAGCAGACAACAGGACAGATGAAGCAGAACCAGTGGAAGACAGGAATCGTAGGACTTCAGAAGTGAATATGAAAGGGAAACAGGTTTTTAAAAAGCTTCAACTGAAGAACAAGGTTGAGGGAAGGGAATAAAGTTTGAAAAAGAACCTTAAAAATCTATGTTTGAGTCAGGTTTGAAAACATAAGTAACACCCCACTGGGCATGCCAGGTGCCTGAATTTCCCTCCTTGGAAAGATTCACCCAGACCAAACCAGAGATCAGAAATTCAGAAGAGCAGCACTGCCACTGGCTAGATGATGTGGGAGTATGGCAGGATTGGAAAAACTTTTGACTGCTAAAGAAACATTAAAAATGATGGAAAAGCAGCTATTTGAACTCTGCTATCCTGCATCTTTACTGCCAGATTAAATTAACTCTCACAAAGCAGGACTTCAAGGCCTTTGTTGACTCTCCCTCACATCAACCTCCTGTTCCTACGAGCTCAAACACCTGACGCACCATTCAACACCAACATTCAAATTCAGCCATTAAGATTCTCATCTCACTGCATAACAGCGAAGACAGAGATTAAGCAGACAGACTGTTGAAAACAAACATCACTGCGATTTTGGGTTCCATTCAGAGATACCTGAGAACCACTGGCATAAGAAGTCCTTCTCCATTTTCAAGCCTCTGTCAAGAATTTCACTCTGGCTTTCTTAATCATGAGCATGAATAAAACACCAGCCTTCTCAAATACTGTATTTCATCTTCCAGTACATTGGCATGTTTTTAAAGTTTCTCCTCATTACAAAAAGACGACATACTTCTATTGCCTGCTTGTACAACTGGTAGCTGGATCATTAGGGTGCAACAGAAGAGGGGGGAAAAAACCCACATCATTCCCTGCTACTAAACCAGTGACATACAGAAAGTATAAAAAGTGAGCTGAGCACATCATTTCTATACACCCTGCTGATTACTATTTATTCATGTGTATATGAGCTTCACTCAAAATTACTGAAATTACATAAAAACTAGCCTTCCTACAAACAAGAGCTCACAAGACTGGGGTCATAATGGGAGCCCTTCATTATTTTTATATTTTTCAGGTGTTTTCATATGGTTTGAAAATAATTTTAAATTTCTTTTTAAATTTTAGATATAAACACTCTTGGGTTAATTGCAAATATATCCAATGTAATATTTTTAGATAAATTTTTGATAAATAGTATGAAAAAGATTTTTTAAATGTACTGTCTTTTGTTACAGTCAAGAAAACTCACTTATAATCAACTACTGGAAGCAGTAAACTGTCCACAAGATAGGTAGCATGTACTGTAACATATACATATATATATCTGTAACAACAAAAGTTTGAAAAAATATCATAGAAACACTACCATTTTTACATTGTTTTTAATATCTGTATGTTTTATTTCTATCAGACTACTGCACAGCAGGGGAGCTTTTGAGACAAGAATTTATGCAAAGATTTTACGTAACGTCATTCAAAGCACAAAGTTCACTCATGAAGCAAGTTAATACTGTAGCAGTACTGAAATAAAAGGAGGAGCTAGTCAGACATTTTGGTTAAAAATCTAACACGTTCTCTTTAAAGAAAATAAACACATAATGCTATAGCTCAAAATAAATAGTGCCAAACGTCACCATCAACAACATACAAAAAATAGAACAGTGTTTTATAAAAGAAAATACTTTGTAAATGTATAGCACACATGGGAGTGTTATAACAGACTTAACATTTTCATATGTTACTAGGTGCTTTACTTTGGGGATGGATTCTACAATCCCCAGTTACATGAGCAGTTCTATTAACCAGTACGGGCTTCTTAATTATAAAATTTGGTACCAGAGTCATCTGTACCATCCATCTTACAGATTTTAAAACAGGAACAACTATTTCTATGCCTTAGCACAAGATTTAATCATAAATACTAAAATCAACACTTGATGTATATTAGATGCAAACAGCCTGACTGTATTGGGTTTTTTTCAGTGATTTTTAAATGTTCTAGTACAGTTAAGAAAAAAAAAAAATTGAGTACTTGCGCATATTAAGAACTAATCGTGGCAGTCAAGCAAGTATTGTGCTGCCTTTTCCAATACAAACCATTTCATTCTATGACATACGAATTATTGTTATAGAACATAACCATCACTGTTAAAAATCAATTGTCAGATAATAAATGAAAACAAATCTAGAGCTTGCTAGCCACAAACCAAGGTTTCTCAAATACATTCTCCCTACAAATTGTTCCACTGAAATCCTACAAGATTAAGTACACACAAAAGCTAGAAAGAAAACAAAGGATTCATTCTACAAAATCTGGAAATTAAAAAAAAAAAGTGCTAATATAAGCTGATGATCTGGCACACACTATTTAAAAACTCCTGTACTTTGCCAAACAATTTCCACAGTATTTGCAGTTTTAAAAAATACAAAACCAGAAAAACCCCTGACAGCTTCAACATTTCATCCATGAACCCCACAGCTGGGTTTTTATTCTTCGAGCATTATATGAAATCAAAAATTAAAGCTGCACAGAGAAACAAACAAACAAAAAATCCGAGTGTGCAGGGAACTGACTGCATTTAGAATCTATATGTGTATATGTATGTACATACCGCTGGTTTTATTTGAACTAACTTCTTTTTACTCACATAAGGAAAAAGACTTAACTGACCCTAACAGCTTCTTAGCAATATCACTGGTAGTAAGTGTGTTTTGACAGTTGTGTATAAAATGTTCAGTCTTGAAACTCAAGAAATCAGTCCCTTCTCCATTTTACCACATTTAAAAACAAGACACCTTCCCTAACAATAAAAACATTATTTAAGCGTACTCAAAAAGGTACTAAGGTCTAACAAAAATATTCTGAATTTCCTTTTCAACTAATAAAGTATTTGTAAGACATTTTGCATATATTTATTTCCTAAATGAAGGAGTGGCAACTTTCTCAAACATAAAAGCTAAAATTCACTTTTACTAAATATAAAGCTAATTCTCAGGATACAGCATACAAAACCAAGTATTCACGAAGAATACACTTTGTTATACTACACTATCATGTCTTTTCCAAAAGGTTCCTGTATTTAAGAAAACATTTGAAAATTTAAAAATACCATAAGGTCATCCAAATTATTTTTAACACAAAAATCTACAAACAGTGACATATAAATAGACAGTTGGGAAGCTGTAACTTAAGATCGCATCTTTTAATCAGACCTTCTCACAAACTCTAGCCTCAAAAGAACCCTGTTTGCTACACGAAGCATCTGCGTGTTTTTAAGACTTAACTATGCAGACTCCTATTGCCCCAGGGCAGTGCTGCACAAGTCTATTGAAAACGATCAGATTGCAGAATCAACACCTTAAATTTTCCCAGAAAACCTCCAACAAATGTTTTACGTGTATTATGACAGAATGACAAAAGAAAAAGGGATGCTACAACAATTTCAGCATGACTATTTTTCCTGAAACTATTTTCCCATCACACTTGGCAAGCAGAGAACTAATCCTATCACCTGTCTACTCTTACACTGACAACTGCAAACTACAATTCAATATAAACTACAACAACCTTCTACAATAATTATGTCCCTCTTAGAACCAAAATTAAAATAAAGTTAACTGTGCTGATCATACTTTCCATAAATTACTACAAGGTGAGAGATTCAGACATTTTGCTTCTGGATAATAAGCCTAATATCTGTATCATGTGCAAAAGTGCAACTGTGTTTTAGAACTGAGGCCCAACTGAACACAATTTTGTTATTAAAGAAAATATACTTGAAACCACTTAACACGGAAAACAGTGGTTCTCGGTATCTTCTACAACAGGTTTAAATAAGCAAAGCATAACTTTAAAACTGCAAGTTAGTAAAAAGTACAAACAATAGAAATAAACAGAAAACAACAAAGCTTGTATATAAATTGGTTTACAATTCAAAGCACAACAGTAAGCTTCAAATAATTACATTTCAGTAATACACAAAGAGGTGGGATGATTTACTTAAAATACTTGGTTATTTCTGCTTTTTTCTTCATTATCTGATGTCTGTTTAGCTGCTCGCAGTGTGTGCATGCATACGTTTCGCTACATCATAGACATAGGTTATGTCTGGTCGCTTCTCTGGATCCGGGTTGATGCACATATTAACTAATTGTCGCAGCTAGGAAAGGAAAATAACACGTAAGAAAGCCAACGATCTTGTCAATTAGTCTTTGTGCATTATCAAATTCAAATTAATAAGAGTGGCAAAAATTAGCCAACCATAGCAACTCTGCGTGAACACACACGCTCAACCCTCCCTCTCTTGACACGCACGGCACACAGTTTTATGCAAGCGTGTATACAACTCACTCCTATGATTTTTACGTTTTGTACTGTCGTCCAGAAAATCTGATGAGCAGATTTACATTCTAATCCTTTCAACATACAACTTTAAACATGCATTTAGTCCCACTACGCATCATTTAAATGAAAATTCCTGTGCTTTTGGAGGGTGCTGCCTGCAAACCGCAGAAGGCCGAAACTCGCACCGAGCAGGTAAATTGAGACTGCTTGCTCGCGCTCTGCCGATACAAGAGTCAGCCAGCAATAAACGGCATTGCTGCATGACAGGTTCCAACAACAGCAGGCAGCAACTCTCCTTGTAACGCACAGTTAACCTGCAGAACCTCCTCCTGCTAGAAGCTACCAATGCACACGCATTTTTACAAAATGATCAAGAAGGATTTCAAGTTACAATTACACTTCTTTCACTTTTCAGAAGATTAATTTAAATGTATGGGAACATGAAGTCCAGAAGTTATGTTAAACCACTATTTAAAACTTTGTCAACCAGCCCTTGCAGAAACATTGTAAATCGTATACAATATACAGGTTTTTCATATTTAACAATACAAAAGCCATGTCACTAGACATGCCCCTTCCTTAGTAAGAAGAGCTTAATATTTAAAAGTGAGATCATTAATTCTGAATATAGTGGTCAGATTTCTGGATTGAAAAGAAACACATTAAATCGAAATAATCTGTAACAGACTTGCTATTTGAATCTTAAATACACTAAGTATATTTTGGCTAATGAAGTTAGCCATCGTATTGCTTCTGGCAGCCAATAAATAAAATACGATACCACTGACACAGAAAACTATTAGCCTTTAATAACTCTCAATCATTTGGAGAACAGAATGCTGGAAATAATGCGCTACTCTAAGAAACAATAACTGCCAACATGTAATACAAATATGCAAAGCAAAACCATCTCCTGTAGAAGAAGCAGGTAGGACACTGTAAGCAACAGGCACAACGTATTAGCAAAGAGGAGGAGCTTGCTATGCAACACCTCAGACAGCCTGCACGGAAAACAGGAGAGACTGAAGAACATCCAAAAACCCCAAGCCTGAAATTAGACTCAAATAACACTCTGTAAAGAGATTACAAGTGTAATTTATCCAGGGAATATAACATCAAATCTTGCACATATACATTTATCTTTCTCTGTGAAGACTTCCCATCTGTTCCATAGAGCTGCGTACAGCAAATAAAGTCTTAGTAAAAGACCTGGAAGGATTGAAACCTACAAAGCTATCATCAGAGGGGAAACAGAGTATTCTTTCCCCTCTTTTTACCAGCTGTATATCAATAACTTCACTGTAGGTAGAACAGCAGAAGTAGACCTTCAAGAAAATTACCTGTGAAAAGTATGAGAAGCCTTGTTTACCTCCACTAGGCTACTTCACCTCTTTTCAATCCTCACCTGTGGGTAACTGGTTTTGTTTTCTAAACTGAACTTTGTCATCTAAAAAATCAGTTTCAAACAGTTAAATCATTAAACAGGAAGCCTTCCTTCAGAGTTACTTTGTTACTTGTTACAGTATGTTACAATGCAAAGCATCAACAAACCGCCAAGAAGATTCCTTCCTTCGAAAGACATTGTAGCCAAGCGGCATCTTCACTCAAAAGTACACGTAAAGCTTTAAATCCTATTAATCCCTGTAAATATACTTACAAAATCCATTCACCCACATGGTGTCTTGACTGGTGGCTTTTTGCAGCTTCGTATTTTTCACTCTAACCAAAACGTGTATGTAGCTACTATTGTTAGGATGCAAGAAGGGATCTACAAGAAGATGTTCATAGTAAGGGGCAGTCACTGAATCAGTTTACTCAGAAATTCTCTCCCCAGCACAGTGCAAGAGGTGTGCTCAGTTAGTGACAAACCTTCACTGTCACTGTAATAAACCAAACCACAGAGTCACAGATCTCTTTCGGCTCCGAGTCTTAACACTGAAATGTTGGTCACTGCTATTACTGCAAAATCTCCTTCCCCCTCCCCAGTCCAGAACTTAGTTGTAAGGCAGGAACGCTGAACTGACTATGCCCGGGACACTGCACAGTAACACAGATTCTTCAGTAATTTAAAAATCCTTGAGCTCTTTTGAGCCTTTTATTGAACCAAAAGCCTTTGGAAGAAGGTGAATTAATTTTGCAGTACAGGATGAAAACAGTTAGATAGGAAGACAGCCTTTCAGGACCAAAACTGGGACCACGCTGGATGCTAGTACCTGGTTGTAGCACTATTCCTTTAACTGCTACAGGAATATCCAATTCAATAAACCTGAAATCCATTTGTCAACCCCTCTGGTATTAATGAAATTTCTGATGTAGCAGAGAGCCTGACAGTACCATGGGAAGAGGCACTGGGATTCGAAAGTCAGACTATCATTAGAGATAGAGTAATTTTTTATTATCTGGCACAGACTGGCCAACAGGCAAAGCAGACCTATGACTGAGCTGGAGGGACCTCCTATGACATCCCCAAGCTGCAAACTTCTTCGGCTGCTTATTGTTCTTAACCTCCTCTGTGCGCTTAGCACAACGACTGTCTTTAGCCTGGAGCTTAGCCTGACATTGGAGCAGTGGGACACACTTTCTTTAACTTCAGCAGGTTTTTCAGCTATGAAATAAATATTTGCTA